TGTGTTGTTTGGTCCTTCAGGTTTCATTTGATTTCCACTTTTTAGTAGGTTAACCAATGAATTTTTTAATTATCCGCCCAAAACAAACTCACCCCCCAAAAAGTGAAAGTTGCCAAGCCCTCCCAGCGGCCATTTTTCAAATGACATCCCTCACCTTTCTCGGGCTCTTCTGACTAATTTTTAATCCCATTTTTGTCTGTTTTGCCCCCAGATGGGTGCCCCTGAATCTACAGAGATGATCCTGGGCCATACTGACACAATTCCACCATTTCTTGGCACAAACAAACCCCTCTTTTTGAAACAATCTCTGGGGGGTACTTTTTCTGCGCCTCGTCCTGGCGGAGAATTTTCCTTGAATTGGGACACCGCATCCATATGGAGACCAATTTGAGGCGTATCGGTGTTTCCACGTATCCAATGTTACGATACGCTCTGTCTCGGTCTGGACGGATCACAGTGGGGCTTGCCTGGTCATCACAATCAAAATCTACAGGTGGACTTCAATAAACCGAACATTAAACCAAGAGAAATTCTTTTTCTGCGCGAACAGTCTGACAATATCGTATTCTATAGTGATGAAACCTCTAACGTGGTACACTATTTAGCTAATGCCACGTATTTATGCTTCCGCGCGTGCACTCATACAGTTGCTCACACAATCCACTTTTCAAATTAACTTCAGAATATCTTGAAGAAAAAAAATGATACCATTGAAATCAAATAGCCACCAATTTTTTTCACACTGATGCCTGTTATTTTGATTTTAAATGCTTCTCATCACTTCACTTGTCGAGTAAACCAATACTTCTAAATGACAATTCACGCAGACAACTGAATAACCATAGGCCTACTGATTAATGGTGAATTTATTGTTTCAAAGCTCAGCTCTCAGGTCTTACAGATAAAGGTCTTCCAGATCAAATGCAAGTATGATACATGATGGATAATATGAAACGATCAGAACAGCGACACAAGATCATTACGTCGATTCGTCTGTTGGTAAGAGGACAAAACAGGACTGTAAAATGGAATCATGTCAAAGGCTGTGGCTGCAGTTTGTTTGAAACACACTATGCGCCTCGTTCCCATGAGGAATGGGGATCCACAAAGAACGTACATACGATCGAAAAGGAGGGGCCGTGGATTACGTCATTTGGGGTGGGGTGTGTGTGGGGGCGATGCGTATGTGCACAGCAAACAATTCTTTTCATTATTTAATTAACCTTTTGTCTTTTAGACACTTAGTCACGGTTTTTGTTTTCCCGTTTTTAGAAAACAGTGGTCGACCCTTTTAAATTCAATTATATATGAAATTGGGAACGAGACAATGGCTCATTTGTTTTTTAATCATTCATTTTCCAAGCATATGTTAATAGTCTAGTTTGCCGTCTCTATTGAAGCAGTCTGTTACGTTAAAAAACTCTGCACCTCCACCGACCACATTATTGTAAGTTTCTCACTGGTAACACGTAGTGTCCCCACCTGCCACCTTTATTACTACGACGTGATGTCATTGACAGTTCTAGGGTTGTCTGCAAGACAGAAATGTGTCTACTAGCTTGGAGAGGCGGCCGCGGAAAGGGAGTGCGTATAGCCACGCAAAACGGGGATTAAAAGACGCTTTGGCATTGTGTGGACGTATTTTAAAAATTACTAGTCGTCATTTAGCATCATCATTCCACTCAATTATCAGGGCGAAAGTTTAAAACGTAAATTTATGACCACTGTCAAAATGTCACTTATGTCATATTCAAAAAAATTTGAAGTCTTGAAATTAATATACAACGATTTTATGTGTTAATCTTCGAGGAAAGGGAGAAATTATTAGAACCTCCGGCTACCTGCGACTTCTACCAACACCCAACGTTGGATTACCGTACCGTTTCTCAAAGCCTTTTGAGTCCGATGTAGCCCAAAGGAAACGGCGCGTCATGCAGAAAAGTGTTCCTGTGGGATATTTTAACTCTGGGAATGTTCGAATTAAAATGTGGGTATGTAGTTCGCTTTGCGTGAAAGATTGTATCGTCAAAAATACTTGACTGTGAGAATCGTAACCCGTCAGAGACCAAATCTGTTTCGGCTGTGGCCAAAAATATACCAGACAAGATATGGGACGGAGGGGTACCCCCCTAACCTGTCCAATCTCTACACACTCTAGACTATTGTTACCTAACACATCCCCCTGGAAGTCTATAAAGAATTCCTGAGATTCCGATCAAACAATGACCAACACAAAGGCGGGGGGTTCTCTCCGTTCCAATATCTTGCAAATGGCAAAAAAGGTCCTAGTTTTTTCAAATATGACCCTGACATTTATTTCTTTGTGGTAAATCCCAACCAACCACCAGGTGTATTTGAATCAGGACCACTGTCTTGGTGTAAATCAAAGCCACAGCAATCTTCTCTACCCAGTAATTTTATCAAACAAACTTATAAGTGTGTGAGCATTTCTACCCAGCGCTGTGAAGTATAAAAACACTTGACTTACTAAAACACTACGCTCAAAACACAAATCTATATTATACGTTAACCTACAGGATTTCACTTATAGTTCATTATTAAATTTCCATGTTAAAGAAATTCTCCTGCTATGTTAAATGAGAGCATTAACTTTCAAAGATGAAATCAATATTTAAGTTTCCACATACTTATTCTCATGTAATGAACAGATTTTATACGTAGAGAGAATTGAGGAATTGTTAGCAAGTTATTAAAGACAAAGAATTCAAATCACTCAAAACCACTGCACTTACACGATAAATGTATCACCAAAAAAGTTAAAGCAGAGCCTGTGTCAGCACACTGTAACTCATTCTTTATGATTCGTTTGTGACTTGCTCTGTGAAATCAGGCATCACAAAAGTTTAAAGTTTACTTATTGATTAAACTAGAAATAATATCTCTTTTGATATACATATACGTAAGAGTTTTAAATCTTAAGATGTGCTAAAATTCAGCATTTCAACATCTTTGCAGTTTGAAAACATTTTTGCAGTAAACATACCTGTTGGTGTTCCCAGCATAAGCAATCAAAATATTAATTTTAAAATAAGTCATACCTGTTGAAAATGAGACCTTGGGCACATTAGGGAGAAATAAATCACAATCAAATGATTAATTTCAAATTTTAACCATGGACACTGCAACAACCATTTACATGTAATCACACTTGACATCTTTTCTAATCAGAAGAAGTAAATTTTGCTTTTACTTTTTCTTACATTTTGAAATCTACCGATCAAGGAACTCTAGTTCTAACAACCTTTAACCCTGAGAACTTTACAGGGTGCTTTAAAGGTGGTCCAACTCCTTACAATCTTGCAAAATCATCCAAACCATCCTCATCCATAAATGGATACCTTTCGAATAATATCACATGATAACAGCAATCACAGCATGAAAGTGAGCATCAAATTTAATATTAAATTTGAATGATGAGTCTCAAAGAGAGGGTTTATGAAGTAAAGTCTCGTGAATGCTTACAAGTGCATATCCTCTGATGGATTACTACTAGCCACAGAAATGGAATCTGATTTGTTTGAGCTGCCGTCTGACTTGGTTTCAACCTTTTCGACATCCTTTTCTACCTTTTTCTTACGAAGCTCAATATCATGGCTATACTTAACATTTTCTACGCCGTAGTCCTCATCTATGTCATCATTTCGTTGTCGCCGCTCCCATTCTTTTCTGTTGTTCTTCTGTTTTTCACAGAAGTAGCAAAGCCAGATGACAAAGATGACAAGAACTGCAGCACCACCAATACTGATCCCAACGATGGCTCCTGTACTCAGGCCTAAAAAAACACAGGGTCAAGTCAGAGGAGAGAGATAACAAAAATGGCAGGTCCACTAACACCGATCCCAACTGTGGCTCCTGTACATAGGCCTACACCTTAAATAAAGAAAGAAAAGAAACAGGGCATGCGGCAATGCAGGTTAGGAAGACAACAAGAACTATATCATCATCAAAACTGAACCTTACTATGGCTCTTGAACCCAAACCTACAGTACTATTTAAGAAAAAGAGACTGGATCTACTCGGATGAAGATCAGGTCAACTCAGATGAAGCAGTGACAATGTAACTCTTTGCCATGCACACTTTTTGGCTCTTCTGAACACTTTCAAATTGTATGTGCTTTAAGAAAACAGCAGTCACAGCACGACAGCTTGACAAATCCTCTTTTTAAAACAGCAAGATGAGCGTACAACTGCATTGCTTTGCTTACTGAAGCCTCTCACACAATCTGAACTGACTTTTAAGAGACAGTTTTTTCAGTTAGTACACAATCTGAAGACTGTTCAGAACGTCAAGTGTCCACCATCGGTTCTTCTCAAAACCACACGCTCATAAAAGAGATATTTTCTTGTGCAAGCCTACCTAACTCTCGCACGGTACATTTGTACGCCCACTGTGTAGCGTAGAGGTAACTATAGACAGCAGTTATTCTCTACATAATTTCATTTAGGAATGCTTTCTTTTTCTTGTACAAATGATTTTAGAATTTTGTTGCTGAGGACTAGAATTAAACAAAATAACTCTGCTTGACATTATTCATTAACACTGACTTTTTAGCAGAATTTTTGCATCGACACAAACACTTGATTGCTAAAGAACAGAACTGAATGAAAAGCTGGCAGCCTTGGAAAGGAAATACATCCAGTTTCCTGTGATTTACCAGTAGGTTAGCACAATTATATCTTCCCCTTTGTGGATTGGGTTCAATTCCCAGCTCAGTCTTCGTGTGGATGGGGGTTTTCAGTCCTTAACTGATTCCATAGGATTTACACAGAATATTCTTTCGGAGTTGTCCTTCCACCTCCAATTCTAACACCTCAAACTACTTTCCACTATCTTTCTGACAGGTTTCTCCATGCTTGTGAGCCAAAAGTTCTTTTCAGGAATCCTTGGTGTCATTACCATAATATGGGTTAAATAACACTAATAACAATACACAAACACATTTTACAGTACCGTGGGAACAATGAAACAAGAAGAAAAATCAACTAGGTATTTCCTTATTTTAAATTTTTTAAATCTATAATTAAAATTAATTTTTGATATCATAAATCACAAACCAAAAAGCACACAAAAAAGGAACATGTGAAAACTTACCACCAGAAGGAGCTTTAGTAACAGGTACTTTTGTGGGATTGGGTTTTGTTGGTGGTTTGGGGCCATCAGTAGGTGCAGAAGGGGTGCCTTAAAGTGATAGAAAGGGCATTTCATTTAGAAAGAGTATGAAACTATAATTGACCTCATAATCAGAAACCTGAGTTTCCAAAACAACTGGAAAGTTATGTAATTATATTCACAATAAAGGAATACTGGATCACTCATATTTGGAAGAATTCAGAGCAAAAGTACACATGTCCTTTACTTGGTTCATATTCATTCAGCATGCACACTACTTCTGCTAGCTCAGAGCAATCTTGCCTCCTCCATCTGCCGTTACTTTCAGGGACCATTACAACACACTTCTTTCCATCATTTAGGGTTGGATCTTCTCCGTCTTCCCAGTTTGTGAAATCAACCAAGCTGCCATCCATCCATGAATACCTTCCTACGGACAATAACAGTTGTTTTCCAAAAGTAAAGCAAGTAATTTGCAATGACCAATGGCACACCGTAGAAAGCCAAGGGAAAATCATGAAAGAACACTGTATCTAAAAATTAACAGTTACACAAGCATGGCAGAGTGTACTGACAAACATGGTTAGCGTCACAGGGCTAGTTTATGAATGTTTCATCAACTGTCTACATGTCTGTTTATGGGTGACAGGGGGGGTCCGGCAGTCTTCAAGTCCATGCTGCGCTTTATCTGCATAACAACAAACTTGCATTTATTACTTTAAAGGTGGTCGCAATTTACCTTGCTCAAGAACCAGTCCTAGCCAGACGAATCGTCCAGTTAACTCATTTAAAGCGTTCATTCTGATGAAGTTGTTTTCATCCCAGCTATGAATACTGACTGGCAAAGCTTTGATTGTGGAACATTTGAAGAAGGCATTCACGAGATTATCACCAGTAAATCCAGTGCTGACAAGATAGCACTTCTTGTTGAATGCATACCATTTCTCAGGACAATCAAGTCCAGGATCAACAGGAGGAAAAGTTGGGGGAGTATCTGGATAACCCAAAAATAAAAATATTAATCAAACTTTGAACAAATGTTTACCCTAATGGTATTCAGTCCTCCAACTATTGAGGGATTGAGGACTGTTGGGATTTCTAAATGAAAAGAGTGCATAAATGAAAATATGTTAACATATGGACACTTCTTACAGGGTATGGCTAACTGTTGGTTAAAGACAAGAAATATTTAATTGTAATTAGTTTATTACCATATAGTACGGTCTTCCTTTTTTAACTTCACTAACTTGTTTAATGTTCAGGCCCTTTTTGGCCTAGTTGTGCTGGCAGGGTTAGTTGTGTAAATGTCCATTTTATCTATAAAAGTATTACCATATAATTTGAATATTTTAATTTTCCTACACATTGTAGATTTTAAATGTTTTTTACGATGTACATGAAATGCAATTCAGCCTTTGGCTGCAATGTTTTTGTTTTAAAATAAACTAATAATAATAATAAAACAAAATATGCAATAAACACTAATGGTACTGCAGACTGAGAACTGGACTGCTTTGATCAAACAGGAAGTAATATTGAAAAGGATGACAAGTCATTTTATTCAGAGCTTGAAAAAAAAAGTTCAATAAATTGAAATTTAAATATGCAAATCTTTTCATTGAAATACTACATTTTCAACTTAATGGAGTTGGATTTGAAGAGGCACACACAAGTATTTTCACCTGCTTCCACTTTTAACTTATTGTAGAGAAACAAAGAAACTGTACTTCAGTCATATTGGTTTTTGACTTGTTCAAACAACTACTACTTTTGTGAACAGCTAAGAAATTTGGTACAGTTCCTTTTTTGAACAATTTTGCTTCATGAATGTCAAACAATCTGCACACTTAGATAGTATGAAAGTGACTTTAAAGTCCAGTCATCACATCTGATTACTCTTCATACCTAACATTCTATGTTACAAACCTAGGTAGTACAAAGTTTTGTAAACCACAGCTCCATTGCCTGTTGGATTAGTTGTAAAATTGTGAGGACCTCTTTGTAAATAAATGAGAAAACTGGACAATTCTTTTCTTTGTTATAGAAATGGGTGAATTTGATATTATACACATCATATCATGCATAAAGTCAAACTTAGGAAGACACAGAAAGTCATTAATGCTACTTTAATGAAGCTACAACTTCTGAATGTAAAGTTCTGCTTGCCTGTTTTGGATCTGCACAAAGAAGGTCTAGCACTTGAGCAATCCACTGACTTCCAACCTTCAGAGTAAACGGATGCAACACATCCCTGCACAAGAGAAGGTTCTCCGTATGCCCAGTTGATGTATTGTATGGGCCACTGTTCAGCAGTCCATTCATACTTGCTTGAAGTACTCTATGGTAGAAACATAAGAACGTTGAGTCTTTAAACACAGAGTTTAAGTCAAAATTGTCATGGAGTAAGTATATGTTAAACCAATTGCAATACAAGATTCTATTTGATTAAGGATGTGTCTTAGAGTAGACTTTATCATATGAACTAACTGGTATGTCTTGTCCAGAATGTCTATGACACAGAGCAGTTTGAAGTATAAAACAGCCTATGCTTGCAAAATTGCATCTTGATGAAGTACGTGTAGGTCAGGTTTATTAAAGTACATAAAATCAGGGAGATAAGAGTGGGTAATGGCCCATGAGTTTCACTGTATCCCTGTAAGTTAATGAATCCTGGATCTGCTGCTGTTCTTTCTGAATTCATGCCAGTAGTCCAAACAAAGAACAGGAAATGCTGCAAAGCACCCTGATATTTTGGATGAGGGTGCTGGAATATATTTAATCACCCCTTTATTAAGCAGATTTGAAAACTCACTTCAGTGCCTAACACTAACCCATTTGCAAAATGCTTTCCAGCAAGCTTGACTGAGAATGAATTTGATTTTACATAGTAGGCTCAATCTACAATAGTACCATGATCAGAAAGTTCAGTGAGTTGCAAAAGGAGATTCAAGTGTAATATTGAAATGATTCAGTCCACTAATTGTGAGTACATGTAATTTATTGCTACTTTAGAGGGTTTAGTTACAGCTGAAATGTAACCATTTTCGTATTCCTGATGGTCCTATACAGTCTGCATAATAAGAGATAGGTGACTCACATCATCTGCACGAAGACCAACCCATAATGATTTGATACCGCTATTGTACATAAGTAGCTCAATGAAGGCATTCTCATAGCCATCCATGACTGGGGCTAGAATGCCACCAACGGCTTCACACCCATCCAAGGCAGTAGAAAAGGGACGTTCTGTCTCTTCAATCCTGAAACATGATGGCGGTGTGCCTACAAAGCTGCTTGGGCAAGGTGCAAAAGAGACTGGTGGTTGTGGTCCAGCATTTGGATCTGTTCAAGCAGACAAGATAAGTGTAATTGATGAGGAATCTTCTACATCCTAACAGCAATTCCCTTTCTAATGACCAGCTAATTTCTTTCAATAGCGTCTTGTCATTTGTAGGTACTAAATAAAAGATTAAGCTGTAAACAGACAGACTTGAACAAAACTCAAAATCAACTTTATCAGTAACAGCACAAATGAAAAATATAAAAAGAAATACCAGTTGTATTTCGTTGGAATGGATTACAATAGAACTTCTGATGTTATTTTGGCATAAAGGTTTGCAGTAGCACCATGGATATCTTTCTGACCATCTGTAGTCTAAAAAAAATAGATTCAGAAGCACACATGCTCTGAAAAAGATATCCTTTAGTGGTGCTACCCCAAACCTCTATACCTGCTTTGCCACCTTCACCATGAAAAGCTTCAAAGCTTATGATGTTATTGCTTGCCTCAGTACATGCGGTAGTTTATGAAGTTAATAGATAAAATAAAAGTCATTTTGAGAAAATAACATGAAGCAAGATATCAACTCAATCTAGCTCATCAAAATAGAGACTCAAATTTCTATATCCGTCCAGTAAAAGCATTAACTTACCCAAGTCATATTTGCAGATGTATGAATACACTTTGTCACACTTATCATCATACCATTCACCTGGTTCATCTGGATCAGTTAACATCTTGACACAGCTATCCTGTAAAATTTAATTATTTTATGTGAAGTAAATAATCATTCATGAATACAACTATACCTTTGATATGTTACAGCAAAAAGGTTTACAGTATACACAACCTAATCAGAAGACAATTATTTCACACTGCCAGAAGTGTCATGTTTGAATGAATCTTCATTGCTAACTCATGTGCAGTACACTGAGCTGTATTCATCTGCGAAATACAGTAAACTCTCAATAACACGAACCTCATTAGGGGAATGAATAAAAAATGTGAGTAATCCAGAATTTGAGCTAACGATTTTGAGCTAACGCACAGTGCACAAGCAACCTTACTTGCCCGTATGGTGGCTATTGGAGACGTTATAAGGGATTATCTCCTTATATTCAAGAATAAATTTCTTCTAAAAATCATCAGTTTGCTGAGGTTTCATGTGTTTATTCCGTAAATCGTTTATTCTACTGATAAATAAAACATAAAACACAAAACTGTGCACTTTTTGTAACAGTTCTTTCTTTTGGCGCACACCACAACACAATGTGCACAGCCCTGTGTTGCTTGGCCAGGGCCTTCCTGTTTGGCCACATGATCATATCATTCCTTTTAAAGTGCTTGAGGGCGCACCATTTTACATTAAAAATATTTGAGTGTAAAAAACATATATTGTTTGTGTGTTTTTGTTTGTCTTTTCATTCCTCACCTTTCCTTTTTAACCTTTTTAAAACAAATTTGTGTGAAACATGCGGCGGAAAACAGTGCATTTCCAGCACCGCGCTGGGAATGCATGTAAATTGTGTCTACATATTGGCTGGGATTGGCAGTCAGCATGTATAAGAAGTACGTGATAGCTGTATTTAGGCAGGCGGCAGCCAGGCTGTAGCTGCAGCACATACAAAGCTTGTTTCAGTGCAGTACATCACATGGCCACCATAATTTTTCAATTGGACTGCAAGCGTATGGGCTACATTTGGGCTGTGATAGCAATCAGGCTCGCTTGAAAGCCAGGCTTTGTTAAGGCCATGGTCACGATGAGTCGATTATGATGGCACTGGCAGCAAGCACGCTTGTTTCCTAATGCTAAAAAGATGAAGTGCGGTCTACAGAAATGACTCGTACTTAAGTCTTGAGTTCTTTTCCACTCATCAGTGATTTGGCGGTGGTCTTTTTGGATTGGGCCCCTCAAAAACTTTGAGTTAACTGCAGTGGTGTGGGCATTTCAAGTTATGGATGAATTTTTGGACATAAAAGCCTATTCTTTTGGCAGGAATGGAGAATGTCTTCGAGATAACCAATTTTCAGTTATTGAGAGTTTACTCTAAAGCTAAAAATATCCTATGCTCAAACCAAACCTTATGGGTTGAAAATGTACTGGTTGTTTGGATCCCAATTTTTAAGAGATATTGCTAAAGGCACACAATAACTATCTCACTGAGTTGATACACTAAGGCTAGCCAGAAAGAGATACCGGTAGCAAGAGAGAGCAAGAGATAGAAAGAAAGTTACATATGTCAACACACCTGACTGATTGATAAACTAGGTTGTCCTGATCCCCAATTAGTAAAGGTCAAGCTGCTGCCGTCAACCCAGTGGAATTCTCTGACAAAATTACTGGCAGGCATCTTAGAGGTCATTCCAAGCCAAATGTTGTCCACTGGGGCATACTTTACTAGAGAGGCAATCAAGGCTGTATAATAGAAGGATTATATCTTGTTAAAAACATATTCAGCATTCAGAGATATATACCATTTCTCACTGACGGCAGAATAGAGACAAATCTAGCAACGTTCCACTGGACACTCCTGATGGCCCCTCCTTTAATGGCAGGAAGTACTGTGTTGGGTTTTGTATAGTGCGACTGTCACAGAACAGTGGTTCTGTACAATACATGTGGTTTATCATAATGCTTTCTGCCATAGGGATACTGCAAATGACCAGTGACAGCATTACCATGGTAACACCACATGATTGAAAAAAAAGTCTTAAAAAAGAGGTAAAACCTTCACAAAGTTTTCAGGTTGAATTCATTCCACTTTTGTTAGGGCTCTGCAACATTTTAAGTTTGTTAGACTACTTTAGTTGCATTTTTGTTGGTCAAAAAAACTGACCAAAATTGGTATCGACCAACTGGCCTTCTGAGTATGGAGCTTAACCAAGTGATTTTCCCAGGTGGCAAGGAGGAAACCACTCATACAAACAATGACCAACAGGAGGGCTGTCATTGTTTAACTGGACTTGGTATAGTGCCAGCTCATTGCTATGGCAGTCACAGATTTTCTAGTCAAGTTTATTTGATAAATGTGAGCTTGGTCATTTGAAATCTTACCTTGCACAGCATAGATGGGTACAGACGCCAAATCACCATTTCGTCCAAGCTTTGAACATTCATCACGAGCAGATTCCCAATTCTGGGGTTCCAAAACAAGTTTATAACAATGGCTTCCGATACGACTCTCATCACCTTTACATGCTCCTCTAGGATCTTGTGTTGTCCCAGGAGTTGGTAAGCCTCCAGAATCGATTGGCTTTTTGCAAATAAAGGGACGTGATAGGCCACAATTGATGTCATTCCACAATGTAGCAGTGCCTAAAATGAAGATAAGGGAACTATCTGCTAAGTATACAGTGTATGTGTCATTCTATAAATTTGGAATCCCAAAGTGTGACATTTTGCGTTCCTGTTATGTCTGACCTTTGTTGTTTGACATGGAAAAATAACTGAAATCGATTTCAAACTATTACTAGTTGTCAGGCAGGTAGTTTGCATTAATTCAGTTGGAAATTAGAAAATATGTGAACTAACAAAATCCTATGTCAAATGTGACGGGGTACACAAAAAATTGGACCCCTAATTTATAGAACGACTATCTGAAACATAATGGTAGCACACTAGCGTTAGTTTAGAAGCAGAAACATATGGGGGGGAAGAAAAAAATTCGAAAAATATACCACTCTTGTTGACTCAAATTTGGATTAATGAAAACAAAGATTTGACTTGGTTGACACCTGCAGATTTATGGAGGAGTGATTTTCAGAACAGACCACTTTTTTACCTTCAGATTCAATAACAACACAGTCATCATCAATGTTGTCAGGCTGGCCATTACGCCAAGATGTAGAACCAACATTCAAGGGAGTGCCATCTGACCATCTAAAAATGGACCAAAATGATGCAAAGAGACCCGTCAAGGAAAATTCAACATTCAAGGCATCTTCAAACGTTGATATTCAATATTGTTATTTGCAATACATTTTAAGTTATATGTACATGTAGGTTGCATCACTTATATTCTTAAAGAAGCTACCCACAGTAGTGTTTTCCCACAGTTATGTGCAGCATTTTTGACGACAGGTTATTAGGCCAACATTCAAAATTATTTAGTTAAGTTAATAACCATTTTAACTGTCCCATTTATGCAAGAAAAAAATTAATAAACAGGGACTGCTGCAAAACATTTTTGACTGATATCAGAACAGTCCATTATGATATGCAGTGACACCAAAATGTTGAAGTGATGGTCTGATTTTTCTTGCAACTGATCTTCTTGCTCCTAGCCCAGCTTACCTTGCATATACTCCTTTTTACTTTAAAAAATTTAATGATGCAGCCAAAAAGCTCCAAAACAGTTTGGATTTAGCACGCATGATTTATCAAACTAACTTCGAATTCAGCTGACTCCCAGAAAGCATGTATTTCTTTGAACTGTGCAAAAACATGCTAATGCAAATGCTGTAATGATAATAAAAGGAGTGGGCCTTGGCCTACAAACCAGCTTGGAACATGTTTCAATTCAAATTATGAAACAACGTTAATTTGCAAAACTTAATCTGGCTTTTTCTAATAATAAAGATGAACAAAGGAAATTGACCAGAGTGGAATTTGAACCTGCAACTTCCAGAAGACTGTAACAGTGTGATGTATCTGTAAGAACAGCATATACCGCCCTCTGTTGTTTACATTGAAGTTGACCTAGCTAGTGAAGGTCATTATATTGTTCTTGAATGAACACTGTATTTGTTGGTCTACAGTCATTGTTTCCAACCCCGTTCACTGCTGCCCGTCAGTGAATTACTTTACAAGTGACACTTCATTAACTGAGCTATCCAGCCCTACTTGTACAAATTTTGGTGGTTCCTTCCATTTTTCGAAGTTTTTTGTTCAACTGTGGGGTACAAGACCGAAGCCATTAAACCCAAAGCATCACACTGTCATTGAATCAGGGTTATGGGGAACCCTGGAAAAAAGTCCCAAAGGCACTGATGGCTGATGTACACGTAAGAATGCAATGACAGGAAGGCCTGAAGACACGGGATAAACATGGATGGACATGAAATGTGCAAGCATATTCTGTTGCCAGAAAGCACTGGGAACACATGCACTAATGTAATGACGATGAGCTCCAACTACCTAAACTGAATGATGATAAATAATGCTTCATGATGTTTGGCACTAAGAGCTGAATGTCTCATAAGTGTACATCAGTACCACCTGCATCGGTACATCTGTAAAAGTTTGAAACCTGGGGGTTATCTTTGACAGTCACATGACCTTTAATGTTCATGTATCCAACTTGTCTAAGTCTGTCAGATTTCTTCTCCGTAACCTTGGATTCATGCACACATATCTGACCTACACACCTATGGAACAATTTGTGCATGCTCTTATAACATCTCAACTGGATTTCTGTGATTCAATCCTGTATAATTTGTCCCAGTATCAACTGGACAGACTTCAGCGACTTCAAAACTCTGCTGCTCTTACCAAATGCACATCAGTCCAGTGTTGGAGTCCCTACATACATGTAGGTTATCAATCCAGAATCGCATCACATTTAAGATTCTTCTGCTAGCGTTTCGCAAACGGATTTGCACCAGCTTATCTCATTGAAGCACTACCCAGATACAAACCAGAACGGAGTCTTTGATCTTCCCAGTCTATCTTGCCGGTTGTTCCCCGTGTTCATCCCTCATGGGGTCTCTGCACCAGTATATGATTGATGTCATATGTTCTTGGTTGTACCAAAGGGAAGGTCTGGAGGAGTGGGTGGTTTGGGATTGTTGGGTGAGGGATGTAGATGATGGGCATGGAGGCGCAGGGTGTTCCCTCTTTCTGTTTCCCAGAGATCCGTTGCTTTACGACAGTTGTTTGAGCATATTTATTGGGTGTTGCTGTGAACATTACTAGTTTTCCGCCTTTCATTGCTTCTGTATTTGATTAGTTTAGTTTTTAACTAGTAATACCTGTGTTAAGAAATGTAAGTAGTTGAATTGTCATTTTGTTCCGGTTGGCACACTGTCTGTATTAACATTGTTTCTGTGTGTGTAATTATCTGTGTGTGTATATTGTGTTTCTTTCTCATTATTGTATGCAATATGATTGGGTTTTATTTTCCTTTGTTAGATGCTTGTCTATCTGTTGTTGTCTGTTTTTGTTTCTAAGTTGTTTGTCTGTTTTTGTTTCTAAGTTTGTCCAGGTCCACCTGTTGTGTCTGTTTTTGTTTCTTAGTTGTTTGTCTGTTTTGTTTCTAAGTTTGTCCAGGTCCACCTGTTGTGTCTGTTTTTGTTTCTAAGTTTGTCCGGGTCCATCTGTTGTGTCTGTTTTTGTTTCTTAGTTGTTTGTCTGTTTTTGTTTCTAAGTTTGTCCAGGTCCACCTGTTGTGTTTGTTTTTATTTCTTAGTTGTTTGTCTGTTTTTGTTTCTAAGTTTGTCCAGGTCCACCTGTTGTGTTCGTTTTTGTTTCTTAGTTGTTTGTCTGTTTTTGTTTCTATGTTTGTCCAGGTCCACCTGTTGTGTCTGTTTTTGTTTCTAAGTTTGTCCAGGTCCACCTGTTGTGTTCGTTTTTGTTTCTTAGTTGTTTGTCTGTTTTTGTTTCTAAGTTTGTCCAGGTCCACCTGTTGTGCCTTTTTGGATGTTGATAGAACTATGCAGGAATGAGGAATGAACACATATTGATAGTAAATCTAAAGCATAACAAACTGTCATCAGTACGTGTGTCCTACATCAAGAATATCATGTTATTTCCATTGTCAAATTATCAAATTTCTGGTAAACCTCAAGTTCAGTGTGACCAGTTATTTATCTTTATCTTGGTGACACAAAGCTCACCATTGACACAGTGGTGTGCTTCTAGCAATTTTCAATAGTTAAAGCAAATTTTAAAACTTATAACTTGAATATGCAAATTGTAAGTCAAAACTCAAAGAGAAAAATAGAGCAGATATCTAAACAGTAATAATAGTAATAATATTAATTATTACTTAATAATTAATTAATAATTAAAAGTTCTTGTATTCCAGATTTTATGACAAACTGTTTTTTAGTAAGTTTTATCCCCCCCCCCCCAAAAGTCTTTAACTTTTGGTGTACCTAAACAACCACTTTTACAAACGAAGTGTGTTGATAATTTTGGATGACATCATATACAGAAAAGAGTAGTTTACAATGGCAATTGATAATTATTAGATACTCACATAAAATCTTGATCATAAGGTAATCTCCTGAAACCAATCCACGGCCAAGATTCTGGGTTGGTAGCATAGCGATTTCTAAGCTGTTGATAAACAGGGACATTTATAAAACTTTATGCTGTCTTTGTGACTTCTTACTCTGCAGTGAAAGTTAATGCTGTGTAATCTCTTATAAACAAGACCAGTACAAAGGTACAAATTTATCCATTTGTCCAGGATCAAATGAAAATTTGTCCTGTGTATTTTAAACTGTCACATGCATGGGTTTACACTTGACAACCTTTTAACATCTTGAATTCATTAAATATCAATATTGAAGAAAGGAAGTGGAAAGCATCCATTTGTGGATATTCTGCCAGTCGCTGAGACTCTGAGTGAATGGAAGGCATCCCTGGGAAAGAACAGCTGATTGCAATTAACTTGTTTGCAAAAGAAGACCATATCTATTTTGTCAACTTATTTATAGCAAATAAATCTTCTTACAGTATAAATGAAATCTTTTTAAAACTGGTGCCATTATGATACCATCCCAACTGTACAACATCTGTCTTTATGTCACTCTCCATGAACTACAAATGACTCACTGGAAATACAAAACAGAACTTACAATTTGACTAACACTCTCTCGCTCAGTTGGAGAACTTAAGCTTGCAAGGTTACTTCCCTGTTGGTTGCAAAATGCCTCTGCATTATGCCAATCCAGCACCCCATCCTGAGGTATTCGAAAGTAGAAACAAGAGCCAGCCAACTCTTCCCACCCGGATTCACCTACATGTACAGCCATTTCAAAGTAATTTGAGTGGTGTAATTAGTCTAGAAGTTTGCAAGCAACATACTGTTCTTCTCTCATCAATGTATGCACTTACATTTGTCTGATAAGAATGAAAAACTAGACTGAATTTGCCTAATTGGACTAAATTGTGCTCAAGTTGTATTGAACACAAAAGAGATAATCAGAAGTGAGATTTCAACATTTTGAGGATTCAGCGAGTATGAGCAAAGTTTGAATGCCATCTATCAGATACAAATAAAAGTGCTAATAATACTTAATGTGATTACGTTTGTGCTTAAATCAAATTACAGAATTTTTAAAAACCATGCATAGCCCACTGAAAGAGGTTGTGAGGAAAGTACATATAATTAGCTTGGGGTTTGCTATACCTCAGCTCAGTGTCCAAACCATCAGTAAATGAAGCTGGGAAATAACACATATGACATAGCTACCGGTGAAAAAATACAACTATTTTCCCTTTAGAGGGGTAATTCCACGTGCAAAATTTACCTGTAGAACTGAATCAATTACTGTCCCAAAGTTTTATGGTCATTTTTACCACATCTTCAAATTAAAAAGGTTTGCTGGGTTTCAGGAATTCGTACTTACATTGTGGCTTTGGTCCATCATCTGTAAAAAAATCAAACAAAGTTCGAAGTTTATAAAAAGTATCAAAAAGTTTATAAAAACTTTAAAAATATGACAAACATGACAAAAATATTTTATACACTATAATTTTGCCTACCATTCGTGCAGGTAGTCAAAGTTTGCAGAAATATCACCGTTTGTTGGTTTCAAATTTTACCTCGAAATGTACAATAGCCCAATTTATCTTAAGAGGGTCACATTTTCATTGTTTTATAGCAGTGATTACTATTTGGTGTTTTGATGGTTGAATGAGATTCTTTAAGACCTATAAATCATTCATTTGCTTTTATACTGATAGCTAGCCCTACTTTTAACAGCTACACGTAGGCAAAAATTTGACTATGATATGGAAAGAGCACATCCTACTGGATACTTTTATGTGAATGCAGTGGTAAGGGCTTTGGTTACAACTTTCATTGCACATTTTGTCAATGTGAGCTTGTGCAAAGATTCAAGCCAAAAAAATTACCCTTTGATGGCAATAATTTACAGTAAAACAAATTTAAGTAAAAATTTCAATTAAAATTAATCTGACAGTAAGTTGCTGATCTTCCAAAAAATGTAAATGCTTGACCCTCCTTTCAAATTAGTGCTTACTTCTCAATTTCTCTTCTGTTGGTGCTAATGCCCTTCCATAAAGAACTGTAAGAATACACTTACTGGCAACCTTTTGGCAAACAAAGGCATTGCGTTCAAAGCAGCTGGAGTCACTCCATGGTCCAACACCATCATTACCAGCAAAGAAAGTGACACAGTCTGTTCCCTCTTGGCCATTGCTTGGTTCACCGTTTGCCCAGAATACATAGTTGACTGCATCACCATTGTCCCATTGCAGAGGACCTAGGTAGTCATTCATCAACAAAAGCTGAGCACTTAACACATTCTGCTTTTCATGCATGATTTGTTGGGAAAAAAAGCTCCTAAGCTTGCCTGAAAGGTATGGTAAACACAACTCTTGCTAAATGCTACGGCCTTATTTACTCATTTATGTTTTTATGGTGTAAATGGAATTAAACAAATCAACTTGGGATGTACCGGTACATTTGCATGGATTTTGACAGTTTAAAAGTCATACAAAGTTTTAAGAACAATACTTTCATTTTTGGTTCACTTTCAGCAAGATAACTGATTCATTACTAGTTTTGCATAGGATTAACCGACTGCTCTCGTTCTATCCTGCAGAAGTGTATACTGTAGAGTCAATGTCCTTCTTCTTCGTCTTCTAAACTAAAATAGTAATTGGGTCAATTTACTCTGCCTTAATATACTACAAGATGGAAATTGGGTAAATTTTTGTACCTTTACCCTAAGAATGGATAATTAATACTGGTACCTTTACAGGAAGTTAACTGGGTCAATTTCATTTCGCTTGCACGGCAAGTTAGGTTAACTGAATAAGCTGTACCGGTGGGACTACTTCTCTGAATTGAAAATTCCAAAATGTCAATTTCCCACCTGTTCCAATAAACATACCATCAATTGAACGGTGCATGCCAAGCCAGATTTTCCTCTTTCCAAGAGTAACACGAATGTTTCTGTACAGCCAGTCATTCTGGTCTGGACTATGGACAGTAGCAAGAATTGCACCTTGAGTTTCGCATAGCTGTTTGGCTTCTGCATAAGTGACATACTGAGTAGAAGAAACAGCACCACTGGGTAATCGATAAGTATTAATCAGATAGCACAGTCTGGGGTTGGAGTTGCTGTAATGCACCCATCCATCATCACAATGTGTTTCACCAGGTGGAGGTGTAACAGGTATGTCACCTGCCAAGAAAAAATCACAGGACACGTGCTACATCAAGTGATGTGATCATTTTGACAAGTAATAGATACCTTTTTCTGCCAAAAACAATTTTAAAAGCAAAGGTTCCTCTTTGTGGAAGCCTCTCATGATAATGATGATCGGTGTGATGGAACTGGTCAAACCTGAAAACTCCTGAGCAGACACAAAGGTTGATAAAAGAATGAATAAAAATAAGGGGCAGGACAAATAGTTGCAGAATGGATACATCTCAAAATTACTTTATCTGTGTCCTGTTCTTTCTTTAATCAGTTTTAATCAACTAGGTATATAGTTAGGGAGATTACCCACTTGTTGTTCTGCACATGGCTGGTCGTGTCTCGTTGCAATCACTTTCTAACCACTTTGCACTTTTCTGAGCAGCAACACACATTCTAGGCTGAGGCGAATTGGCGCTAAGCCAATTCACATACCTGACTGGGCTCCCATCTGTCCATGTGTATTCACCGTTTTTCTACAAATGATGTATAAAGAAGACTTCATAAGTATATATTCATTAAAAAAGTTAAAAACCTGAATCAAATACCGACAGTTGGGCTGTTGTATACATGCTGAAAACTGTCACAATATATACCGGAAAAACTAAAGACCCCAACTTAAACTTGGGATCTTTGGTGGCTAAAGCAGGAAGAAACAACTTCAAGATTTTAAACAAAACACGTATAAAGAATACATTTATTGATGAAACTAATTCTATGAAGCCCAGTGAAATATGAAAACCAGCCTGGGGAATTAAATCAGACTTAAACCTTGACCGAACCAAAAGCCCTCTGACACCATAAACTTTTAAATGAATCTTATGTATGGTACAAACTGGGAGAAATCACTGACTCCAGAAGTTTGACTCAAAAAGGAGTGCACCACAAAGTGGGAACGGCTAAATTAAGTTACCTTTATCCTACTGGTCTGCTATACTAAACTAAATGTGGCTAGATAGGGTATAGCTTTAGAGTAAAGAAAGACTGGATCTTAAACAAGCTGACTCTGCTGTATGGGTGGGGAATTTTCTGTGCTCACTATGCTTTATGTTTATGCTGTTTACTTGGAACTTTTGAAGACTCATGCCTTATTTATCCTTCTGTTTCACTGCCAAATAACTGCCAAAGCTCACCCTAGTCTCTGTCTCTACTGTATTAATTTGGTAGATGACGCTTAAAATATCAGTAGCTTAAATTAACTCAGGAATAAAGCTGACTTGACTTGATTCAAGCATACATGTACAATATGGTCAACTTGATTCCATCTTCTTAATTTGAGTCACAAAATTCATTGAGTCATTTAAAGAAGTGCTCCAAGGACCAACTTACATCCATGTCATCCATGCCAATCCACATCGTGGTTCCTGCATTGTCAGAAGATGAAAGAAAATACTGCAAGACACCTTGCTCATATCCATCTGCAACGGATGCAAGGCTGGCTTTGTCATTCTGACATTCTATCAGGGATTCCTCATATGTCTGGCTCTTCACAATCAAACGATAGCATGATCCAGGAAAACCTTCCACATAGCCTGGAGGACAGGAGAGGTTCGGATTTGGGGTCGAAGGCAGGAGTAAACGATCTAAGATAAACAAAATGAATGAAAATGCATCAACACTTACTGATGAGACCTCTTAAGACCACCTTCGGTCTTAAATCAATGCAAAATATTGAAATAAAGTGCAAAAAAAGCATTCATTTGTTACTGTTCACCTTGTTTCTTGAACCTTATTATGTGACTGGCCATGAGACTACTCTCCCACCTGATTTTCTCTAAGCAACATCAACATTCTGAGTTCTGTAATAGCAATATCCAGGAATGCTATGGCATGGAATTCTTCAATGGCCATGTCCAGCAATGATACCACATGGTTTTTCTCCCCAAAGCCTCCCATTATTCTCTTATTCCTGCTCTGCAGAAATTTTAAACACAAAATGCTAGTTTTTACAATTTCACAACTGTACAACAATGGCTGATGAGAGAGGGTCACTTTTAATACAGGTGGATAAAACTCCCGATATATTTACATGTAAGTGGTGAATGAGAAGAAAACAATCAAATTTCCAATTCTTTTGTACACTATAACTACACACAAGTCCACCCATACTTGTTATTGCAGCTGTTACAGTGACCAGCAATCAGCTTTCCTAAATAGGGAAACTGTCATCTCAACAATAAGAGGGCCTACCAACACCGTTGTTTGGGCGCTCCTTTGTTCTACTGTAGAAAATGCTCGTTTTGTCTGTTTCTTTCCAGCTAAATCTTTGTTAATGATTTCCTACACAGTTCCTCTTTATTTTGCCACAATACCTCTGAGCCCAAAATGCCTCCACAACTGTGTTTTGAGAGAGGGGAAAACACTGTGTGGATGTGTGAGTCACACAATGTCCTCTTACCCCACATCATGTGGACTTCTTTTGTGTGGAGGTCCACACAAGGCATGTTAGGCCAGGTGGTGGTATTTGGCTGTTGTAACGAGTCTGTCATTGCAGAAATTATATTGGCCTACCTCACAGCCGGGCCTCAAAGTATTGCAAAAGATGAGGCTGCTCTTAGAATGTCACACAAATTAGGATAAATCACCCTGTAGAGTAAGTTTTTGTGGGAGTGGTTGACTTTGAATCAGAGCTTTTCAGAAAGAGTCTTTTGGCCAAGTATAATTATGACGCTGGGGCAGGTTCTTCTATTGTTAATAATATGTTAATGTGAAATGACCTACATGCAAATCTTGTCAAGGCATTTCCAGCAACCCTGGAATCAAGATCTCTCAAGCAATTCACTTACCCAAGTAGCATTCACAGAAGTAGGGCAGTTTGGTTGAACTACAACTTACGTCATCCCACAAACCAGGAGATACACTATCTGCTATCATCTTGGCACAATCATTTCTATCCTAATAGAGAGGGAAGGATAAAATATGTCTAGCGTAAGATTTCCTAACATGGCAAGGAAAATGAACTGATGGACCCGCAGGCTTTTTCCAGAACATTGTCAACCCTCTAACATGTCTAATGAGGCTCTTCCAAATCACATGCTAATGATAATTGGAAAGAGCCTTTCCTGATAATATGACGTAGTTCCAACAATCTGCATGTCTGAATATAACAATGAGTTGTGACTGCTACAATATTTGAAGCTTACAAATTTCTCAGTCCCAAATTCTACATTACCAGACTGTCATCAAAGAAATCCAAATATCCATCTGGCTGGCCTGGTGCCCAATTTGTGTACACTAGTGCATCTCCAGTTGTCCATTTGAAATCTCGGCTATTAAATGTATCCTGAAGACCAATCCAGACATCTCTGGCAAAGCCTCTCATCGCATAAGTCAGAATTTCTGTAAGATGACAAAAAGACAGGAAAATGAAGAACATTTGTACTGCTTTCAAATATTAACGAGATGTTAACTCAATACGTTGATTAAAACCAAAGGGGAAACGATGCTTACATTCCTTTTGCCTATACAAACTTCTATTTTTTTTTCAAATTTTCCTTTTTTTAAAGCAGGGTAAAAGGCATCTTTTAAGAGGGAGAATGGCTAAGAGTTGCTGTCCTTCATATGCATTATGATCAACTGTTAGTGTAGCTTCATGTTGTTCAAATGCTATCAGATGGCAGAACATTCAACAACATTTGTTTTTTTTTCTCATCTACATGTAGATGTGACAATATGCCAATTCATTTGTACATTGCAGGTTTCATACCATGATGACATATTGAAGGTATACTACCATTGGCATTCAACAAGCAAAAATTCTGTATAATACTATACATATGTATGTGGACTACAGGAATTGATATTTACCTTGTAGACCACCATAAGTGATCGCAGCCAGGTTTCCACCAATTGCCTTGCTTTCACATGATATCTGGGCTTCAATAAATGTCATCTCGTCCTCAAAATAGCGATAACATTTATTGTCTACCTTCAACCAGCCAGCCTGACACTCTCCTGTGTCTGGGGGGCTTGAAACTGGCAATCAAGGGAGGAGAGAAGGGACAGAGAAAAAAGAACAAAATTACAAAAACTGCATGATTAAAATGAATGAATCATAAATGCATTATCAACTTCAATCAAGGCTTCATCAAAAATCGGAAACATATCATGACAAGAATTGTGGCCAGAATATTTCAAAACTCTCCAGTTATGGCATTGGGTCGTAGTTGCTGCACAACATGAGTGATTCTTGATGCTTCTGCAGTACAATTAACTGGTAGAGCACCTCTACTTCCAAGGAGGGCTTGCGGATGGTCTAGAGTGCACTAATCAAGATGTCCAGATTTGTTAAAACTTTGGCTTTCCAATAGTAGCCCTTATCATGCAATTGAAAGTCCAACTATTCTTCCTTTTTTAATTGGAATTCCCACAGCAAAGTTATTAAACTGATGAAATGATAAAATTCCAGTATGTAGGTTTTTCAGAACATTTCAACATAAGCTCATTTCCTGATCCCACATCAAGAGAAATTCTTACCATGTTGTTACCTGCTCTCTCTCTATTTGTAACTTTACACAGTTCTGCCTAGTTCCCACATACAGTACCATGTTACAAATAACAATAACTATCAATTCGCTTCCCTGAAACTCCTTCAGTTCGTACATTGGACATCAACATTATGGCCGCGTCTTGGCTCTGCATATTATCTGCAATAACCATAATAGGCAAAAACCACTTTTTGCTTGAAGATTTTGACAACGGAAAACAGTAAAGCACTGTACTTACTTGAAAGAAAAGAGCAAAAAAAGCGGCGCCCAATACTACAATCAGCACTAGACCAGGTAAAAGCATCGGTCTGTGGCACAGCTCCAATGACACAGTCTTTGTTGGGATCTGATGAAGGTTCACCTGGTTTCCAGTTGACATAATCTACAATACTCCCATCAATTATTTCAAACTTGTTATCTGGAGTGAAAACACAAAGTGAGCAATAAGCCAGAGCTGCACATTTACAAAGTAAAATTTAATAGATCTAGATTAAAAGACATTACAAGGGTTGAACTATGCTTGAGTACATACAGATCTGAAAGTTTGCATTTTTCAACAATTACACAAATATTTCACACATATTCAGAAAACAATGTTATGTGGTCATTTTACAATTGGGTGAGACAGGATTTTTTTTAAAGTCCAGAATGCATGATTCTGATTACCATCATTTCTGGTCATTCCAAGCCAAAACTCAGACCCTGGAAATACGCCATACTCCTGCCAGTTAATTGGCTGTGCAGAATGGGCAGTATACAGAGAAGCACCAGGGTAGAGTCCTTCACAATGCTGTTGTGCATTCTCCCATGCCATGTTTACACTGACGTAGGTGAAACACTCATATCCAACTATACCCCAGCCATCTGGGCATTCCCCTTGGAATTTTGTATCTGTGTTTGTATCTGAGGAAAGAGAACTTTTTGTGTCACTAAAGATGAGACAGAATTACACAAACTAAGCCTAGCCACTTGCAAATCCCAAGTCTTTACAAAAGAGAGCGGATTTACGTATGGATCAAGAACATACACGTAAATTACTGCTTAACCTGTCCCTGGTAATGGTGGTCATTTCAAGAACAAATTTAAATTCACAAGAATAAGATTCTGTCATTTGTAAATAAGGCTCAATTGTAAGGAATTGAAAAGACCAATATGGTATTTTAGGTTTAAGTTAAAGTGAATTTAATTGTAATCTGCAGAGTAGATTTGATGAAATAATATTTGTTAGCTTCAAGGCCACCTAAATAGTATAACATTGTCTCAGTAGTTTTGTTGCATACATGTATATCTCAACGTATTAAATTTGTCGTCTGGAAAACTGCTAAACAGCAATAACTAACCACTACATTTATCCTACCTATTGGGATTGAGCATATAGCTGGCTTCATCTCATTACAGTCTTCACATGTCCAAGCATCACCATCTGTAGACACGCAAGCGTTGGTATCTGAAGGTTGTGGTTGCATCGCTGCCCAATTGGTATACTTGACATTCTGAGTTCTGTCCTCCCAAATGAACCTCTGTTTGGAGAGAAAGGTAACTTCTATGCTCTTCAAATGGATTTCACACGCTAAATGACAAGCTAAGTGACTAAAACCTTATCTGCAGGGTGCTCAGGTTTTTCAGACTTTCATAATTTACAGGGCTCTACGACCTCATTGAGATCTTTGCTTTTCCTTTGCAAAGAGTTCCTGTAAAAGATTCAGGGAAGGAAATCAGACAATTGAAGTGGGTAATTTCTTTAGGCAGATATTTGAAACCCACTGTTAAATTCAAAATTTACTTTGGAAATTGTACCTGAATGTAATTTCTGCTGGAAGAAACACAAGTCACATTAATTTTAGACAGAAATCAAAGGACAAAGTGAGTACTAGATTGAGTAGCAGGGTCTATGGCTGATCTTCTCCATCTTGAGACTCCATCCCAATCCCCATGACAATGAACAACTATCATAATGCTAGCCTTTGTTTCTTACCCCTCGATCACTGCGAAGTCCAATCCATGCTGATGTTATGTTACTGCTGAGCATTAACAACTGGACAACATTTTTATGGTAAACATTATTTACTGCTGCAAGATCAGCATTAGGTGAAGTTTGTTGGCATGCTGTTCTAGCTTCATCATATGACATTGAGCCGCTGATGTTCATGAAGCAAGTGCCATCGTAAAAAAAATAGTCAGAGTTGGCTTCACAACCTGGTTGCACTGGTGAATTATTATCTACGTGTACATAAAGGCAATCAGAAGAAAGAAGAGTTTGATCAAAATGAAAGTGTGAAAAAAAAAATCAAATCAAAAGGTAAGCTCTAGACCTATTTCAAACAGGGTTGGCTGATTGAAATTACCTTGATTTAAATCCCTGGTTTAAACCGTGATTTAAATTAATTTATTTTTAAAATTAAATTACTGATTTAAATCAACATATTTCATTTTTTTGGAACAAGGCAATAATGTTTTAATTTTTAAATTCTTTTCAACTGATTTATTTCTTTTTGCAGGATTTGCACATTTTAAACAACAAATTCCCCTCTGAGAGCCTTTCAGTTCCAAAATTGACAAAAAGGATGAATGAACTTGTTTAAGTCTGGGTTGGCAGGAATTGTTGTTCAATTCAATCCACTTGTTTCGATTTAAATAAGCTTTTCAGATTCATTGAATTAATTTGACATGAAGGATTTATATACATGTAATTGTAATGATGATTTAATGTCAACTTCATTTAAATTGTCCACTGCAGAGTTTGACATGGTGAAATATCAGTGTACATCAACCTTTTGTCTCTACAAGTACACACATATTTTAATGAGATTAGAAATGTTGGCCATCATGCAGTGAAACTAAAAACAGTAACAACGTGCTCTTAATAAAGTGAATTCCATTGTTCTATTAACCACAAAGAAGCTTGATCATAAACAAATGAAGACTACTTTTGTGCATAGTACGTCAAGGTAAAATACCGGCATTTTGTACCAACATGTACCTGTACATATAGCATATAAAATAAATACATGCACGTGAGGTTGATGGCATGTTTTTCACTCATTAGTTATTTGATACACGTAGGAATATCTTGTGAAGTTTTGTTAAAAATTAGAGTTCGGTTTAAAACTTGTTACGCACTTTATCTTTTGTATACGTACAGCACCCGTCTTTGAAGGAAGTGTCTTCTCTGCAGGTAACGTAATGGTAGGTGCTACACTGCATGCATTATACTAGGTTTAGCCAATATCCATGGTAGTTTGTAAATTTAGTCAATTATTTAATTTAAATTTCTTAAATCAAATCCAAAATTGTTTAATTTTGTGGCAAAAGAGATACATGAATGAAAATTAATACACATGGAGCTAATTTGCTTGTTTTTCAAAGGATAAATCAGCCAACTTGTTCCAATTGAAATAAAAATATAAATATCCGATTTACAGGAAATTTGATTTAAATAAAAAAATCAAAATTTTGTATATTTTTGTATAAAAATTAAAAAAAACCCTAATTTCAAAAATTAATGCTGATTAAGAAGAGATAAATGCTGATTCAAAGAAGATTAATGCTGATTAAGAAAAGATAAATGCTGATTCAAAGAAGATTAATGCTGATTCTTAAGTACATACCAACAGGATCTTTTTGGCAGAAGTAGTAAATTGTGTTAGCTTCATTACAGTTGACGGTCTTCCACAAACCTGGTGTTTTGTCATCTGGTAGTATCTGTACACACTGTACAAAAAGTTAAGATTCCAAACTTGATATCTTAATCCAAAACAATGTAAAGGAATGTGTAATCTACCCTTTCTGAGATAACTGTGTTGAATTTGAGTCTGAGAACAAGTCCAGCATATACAGGTACATAAGTCAAGAATACTGATTTATGTTGGGTACATATTCTGGTACATATCTACTTTAAAACAAAATTTCAGGCAACTGCATGAATATGTACCCATCAAAAGATCTACCTTAATGAATTTAACCCAGGGGGGGATCACTCCACCCAGCATTTTTCCCAATATCCCCACATTGCATATTTACAAGAGCTGAGCCTTTAGGAGTTTTTAAAGTAACTCCCTGTTGTTATTTTGACACCAATTTTTTGAAAATCTAGCATACTGCCTTTTGTGTGCAGTGCCCATTTACAGACACAGGTAACAGTACGAGTAGGATCTAAATTCGATGGAAAATGAGCCAACTAATTGTAACTTCATGAATAATTCAACTTGGGTCTCTAATAGCAATAAATTGTCTTTACTTTTTGGGCTGTCACGGTGCTAAATGTCCAGACGCCGGCACACAAGTCATGCAATAGCATTAGTGCAATAAAACAAATTAATTCAGTGACTGATTGAATGTTCCATTCAATCAATTTATTACTTCATAACCTGTTTCTTACCACTGCAATATAAACATGTAAGCATGAAGTACGTTTCTAGATCTAAAGGCCACATCATCCACAGTTGGAGGGGGGGTATGTCAGTTATGCACTACCGGTATCATAAAAGGATGAAGCCATGGCTAGCTACCTGACAATAATGGAATGTGCCAGAAAAGTGTACGTAATGTTGACTCAATATGCAAATGATACTGTATTGCATAGAATTGTTTAAATGCTAATGATGCAGTTCTCTCACAGGAAGACCTCAACTCTACCGGTATCTCTGATAGGTGCCCACAGAACCACATGCAGCTCAACTCAACCAAACATAAAATGACGCACATCACCGGTTCCAGAAATCAAGCCTTCACTGCTATACTTCCAAGGTACATGTACTTAACCTTTGCAAGTTGTCAGTTCCTACAAATACCTTGGTGTTTTTCCAGTGACCTTACATCATGTACATAGACAAAGCATGTTAACATGATTTTTTCAAAATGTTCATGACTTGACCTTCGAGACCTCATATCTAGAACCCTCCCCCAAAGACTTCTATAACTCTTTGCATGAACATCTCTTCAACCAAGGCCCTATCATCCATGCCTTGTAGAATATCCAGCTTCAATCCTGTAAGGTCACCTGATCATTTTTGTTGTTGTTGTTGTTGTTATTGTAAGGTTCTATGTACATGTACGTGTATTTTGCTTTCCACCGTTTTGCACTGCCTTGCAAGAACATTTCTTTCATACACTTAAAAGTTATTTTAGATGCTCATTTCAGACTTTTTATTTCCTAAAGATTCCAAATTTATAATTCTTATTCAAAATTCTAATTTTAATTGTTTCCTGTTTCCTATTTAACCAGTTGGAGAGCCCCTCGAAAAAACTATATTTGTAACGCACCATCCCCAAACCAGGTTGAAGTAGGTAACTGGGATGCTTGACAATTCCTCTCCTTTTTTATCACACTACAAAGTGATCCATGTCAAGTCTAAACTCTGTCTACAGTAAGGTTTATACAGAGAGCGATAGCTGTGAAACTTCCATGAAGACATGGACAGTGGGATTTCCATGTTTTCAGGGAAATGAAGTTAACAATTTCAGCCTGGTTTGGGGATGGTGGGTCACCTTTTTGGGGGAAATCCAGTGAGAGCTGGTTAAATATTGTGTTCGTTATGTCTTGTTTTTAAAGTTTAAAGTATTTTTTGTGAATAGAATGTCTTTGTAAATGTATCCTGAAAAATGAAATAAATGATGAGACTCGGGTCACCAAATATTTGATACAAAGGAGTGCTAAGCTTACACATGAAGTTGATTACATGTACATAATGTGTCTGATTATGTAATGGATACTGTTTTCCTATTGGAAGAGCTTGCCCGGTGCTCACTACATCTTATATTATGAGAATAAGTTTTCAGGCAAAATGCCCCCAAATAAGTTTCCACAGGGGTATGTATAATTAAAAGCCAAAGTCAGAACTTTCAGAAGGGGGGTTGACAAATGGATGGCTGCTGAGCATACTTACATGTAGTTAATTATCTTGCTGAATAAAAAAAATTTAAAACGTGCTGAAGACAATTAGTGTACAGTATACATGTGCATGTGTAAATTGATTTAAATATCTTTGATTTATTCCCACAAAATGGTTAAATACCGCTTAGGTCACATTAGTTGACATATATCGACAAACAGAGCCTTCGTCATTATCTTTGGCACTTTCTGAGGGGCTCAATACATGATTACAGGTGACTTTAAGTTGCAGCTGACCTTTTCACTATGGTACATTAGAAAAACCAACTAACATCATAATTAAATCGAAGACATAAGTACACCACTCAAATGACTGGATTCAGTCTTGGACCACATCTAGGGTTAGTGTATAGTCTGTGATTTAGCACAGAGCTTAGTTGCAGGCACACATACTGTACAAGAAAAAATGCAGATATAAGGTCTTACCCTATTTCCTGGAGAGACACTGGAATTAGGTTGATCTGTACCCCAATTTTCAAATCCTCCCAATGCATTACCATCAATCCATTCATAATCGCCAGAATCATTGCTGGCACGCAGTCCAATCCATACCCCCTCAGAAGCAGAAGCAGTGTTTAGGAAGACATTCAGGTACACTACACGGTAGAGATAGATGTATATACATTACTCTTCAGTCAGTTATGCATACATGTATGCATTCAAAATTTAATTTTTCAAGTTGAATCATTCTGTGTTTCATCACCAACCTGGTCACTGGATGACAAGAGAGCACAAGATACTGTCAGACATATAATTTTGCTTTCTCTGGGAGTAAAATGAAACAACTTTGTAATTCTCAAGCAATCATGATATGAGTATCAGGAATAAAAAAAGTTGTAAACTGTGGGTTGCCCAGATTGTTTACCTTGATCGTTTAAACTCTTGATAGAAGCTAAAGTGGCACCATCATTGTTGCATTCAGACCTGGCGTCCATCCATGTTACTCTGATTTGACCTCCTTGGTTAGGTTTCAGAGAAAAGCAGTCTGAACTTCCAGTGAATTGAAAGTAACCCTCATCACAGGTTCCCTGCACCTGAACTGTAATTAAACCGAGAAGTTTATAAATATAACTTGCTTCTTAAAAGCACAAAATTACAGTAAATCTGGATATGAGACAACTTTGAGATATAAACTATTTCTGAAAATGTATTGTTCTCTCAAAGTTTTTCGTCAAAAATACAAGTATTAAATATAAAGGGGATGGCGGATGGATAAACAATGCATAAGCATGATTTGTTGTCAACAATTTTCCATGACAATCGTTATTTACTAACCCCAATTCCAGAAGCTGGACGAGTTGTACATAAGTTATTTTATGTGGTAACAACTCGAACCCCACAGGACCATTCATGTACGCATTAATTTTACCACTTCCAGAAAATACAAACAAACCTGGCATATGTCTGTTAATATTCAGTTTTATTATTTGAATGATTTTTTTTTTCTAATTATATTGTAACGCGAATGTCTGGTTACCTTTTAAACTCCAGAGGAAAGGCAGTGGGGTTGACCAGTGATGCACTTAATTAGGTTTTGGGTTAGGTCCGGCAGTTTGGAAGCCGGGGGCCGTCAAGTCAGGGGTATTAATTAAGGGGTATTGGTGTAACTGTCAGGGGATTTGACAACGTGTTTTCTGTGAGTAAATTATGTTGTGGAAAGTGGGAAACTGAACTAATAAGACTGCCATGATGGAAAAAGAGGGGCAAGTTTGACAATACGCGGAGTATGATAAAAATTAGTAAGTGGAAGAAAGGTTGAAATAGGTATTGTGGACCATTGTTTTGCATTTTTGTGCTAAGATGGTGTTTTCATGACTGTGGAAAACAGGGCCCGGGGAGGCAATTAAATAATGTTAGAATTGGGAAAATTAGTCAGTCTAAGCCGAGCTGCCAAGGAGTTCAAATTGGATCGACTGACACAACTTTGATACCCAACTTTGGCGATGGGTCCTCATGCCCCCTCCTTGCCGTTTGTAAATGTTTAGCATTAGTTTGTTAGGGTATCTCACGCGTTGAGGAAGAGAGTGGAAGTGAATAAACCAGCTAGAAGTAGATGGTATCACACATATCTTTGCTGGGCGTGCCATTTTGTTCAGCGTCCCTTGTTCTTGGTGTAACAGGCGGTATATTTCCCCCCAAATGGATCTAGGCCCTAGCCAAATCACCTGCGAGCAGCGCCGCGACTGGGCTGAGTGGCCCGGCGAGCCAAGGGTTCACTGACTACGGAGGAGAAACCACCACAATATTTTCTGCTATAGCGCCTCAAAGACTTCCTCTTCTATAAACAACATGCCCTGCTTGTAAAAGTCAGTTTTTTTAATGGTGTTCTATAGACAACAAGATCGCATCATGCTGTGCCGTCCCCCGACGTGATGCTACGACAGTTCGGTCATGTCATAGTGTCGCTTCTTTTCTCATTACTTTTATGCGGTGTTTAATGCATTACGTTGTTTTGTTGTGGGTTGTTGTGACATTGTGTCATGCTGTCTTGTCATATTGTGCTGTCACATCGTACCATTTCATTGTGCCGTCATGTCGTGCAGTCAACCTGTCGTGACGTGCCATTGACCTGTTGCATCATGCCGTCTTGTTATGCCGTCAAATTGTGCTCCTGCAGATGCATCATTACTGGAGGAAATGGGGGCGCCCTTAGAGACGGACCTACATGTAAGTTCCATACCAATAGATACCATCACGTGATAACATCTTGTAGGCCCAACATGTATGCCTACCAGATGGACTCTAGGTGTAGTGTGTCTGGGGGATCCCCCCACACCCTGCCTCATTCCCTATGATATTTTGTTGCAGTGAAACAGCTTTCTTAAGTTTTTGGGTGGTAAACACTCTACTAACACTTTACTGTTCATAGCCCTCATAGCGTCACATACTGGCGACGGCACGAAGAGACTAAATTTTGTTGGCTATAGAACACCACATTTTCTATCTATACTTAGCTTCAGTAGAAAAGTGCAACAGTTATCAGAATATATGAGAACTTTCAAGGTTTCTAGCCATCAACTAAATCACAGTAAGAAATACAATTTTAAAAGACATTTGGTTTCAGATTGAGCATACGTTTCTTGAAATATTTTAAAGAAATTATTTTAAGGGTGAACTTATTCACAAATACAGGAGAGATGGTGAGGTAACTGTACATATGCAAGTAGAAAGGGCAGGAATCATCCATGGTTTGGACCTGTTCAGATATACCCAACTTTCTATGAAACAATTTTAACCTTTTTTAAGATAGTTTTTATGTTCTGAAAAGACATTAGAAAAGATTTCCTGCAAGTCACAAGTTTTAAAAAGCTTTGGAAGTAGCTTCTTCAAAAGAAAGCTTTTTAATCTCTTTCCAAAACTACTATATTGCAGAATCAAGTTAGACACCAATCCTAACCCTTCCAGATCTTCCAAGTCCAAGGGCTTGAAGAAACAGTACAGGAATTTATTCTTCTTAAAACTTAGACTGGGGTAGTGGGTTTTTGCAGAGTGAAAGAATTAAGGATGGCTCTTAGCAAACAAATCCCAGGGAGTTTGGGTATTGAATTTACATTGAACACTTGTTTGGCTTACACTACCTACGGTAGCATTCTTCATAAATCAAGAAACCCCCTCCCCATAAAAAAAACAAAAATAAAACAAAACTGTTGTGTCTTTGTGTTTTGATGAAAAATATTGGGCAAATAATTAACCTTAAGTATTACTAAAGTTCAAATATTTGGAAAGAAGGACAAACACAAATTACTTGACACTTTAAATTGACAAGAATTTTCTTCTGTCTACAATTTATATTAGCTTGATCTGGTCATGGACTTTAGTGTAAAATGATTCAATTTATTAACTACATTTGCAGTCATTGAGATGACCATGACATCACTTGAAAAAGGCAAAGTACTGCAAATTATTTTTACACCAATGTCTGCCAAATCACAAGATGTATGTACCGGTGTAAGAGTTGTCAGCTTGACCATTAATAAGCAAGCCAATACCTGCAGGCCCTGATAAAAAATTGTCCACAAGTGTCCCATATAACATACCTTTCTCAACGACAAATTGCAATTCAAGCAATGATCTTACCAACAGTGAACAGGAGCAAAATGACTGCAAGTCGCAGCATTGTCTTGAGAATGTGTCTCAGAAGCAGCTCATTCTAAAGAAACACCTGCCGTCAAAAGCTGTAGAAGCTACTGGCAAAGTTGGTGATGTGCGAAGTGCAGAGTGATGCCTGGTACAAGCATACCCCTTAATAGTCCAGGACAAAGTTTTTTACTGATAGCAACTTTACCTAAAACTCAAGAAAAACACAACATAAACTTAGCTGTGGATTAATAATTAACTTGATAAAATGGAAGTAACCACCCTAATGGTACAAAGTACTATCAGTTATTGCAGTTTAATTACAAAATACAAGAAGATGTGATTGTTGGTGGTAGATACTGATATACATGTACATACCTGTATCTGGAGATGCAATTACAAACTTTGTAAATTTATTTAGGGAGGTCTTTGTAACACAGAAAAAAGTTTCAACATTACATTATTTCCTTCCAGTTTAATTCCACATAGCATTTACATGTATTAAACTGCCCTGTTACATTTTGTTGGTGTCCCAAAAGGATTCAGAACGATGGACTCCTAAAATTAGAGGGGGTGGGGTGGCCACCAGAGCAAACATGTAAACAAATGAAAATATGAATGAAGACGAACAATAGCTGAAGGAACTAAGACACAAAACAAACACAATTGGTTTAGACGCAGATTCCTAACTTTAAGTTCACTGGGTTTCTCATTTTTACGCATAAGCATACTGTATACACAGCTTACACACTTACCTTCTTCATACATGTACTTCCGTATACATGAGACAATTCCCTTTATAATGGCCCTGTTCTACCTTAAGCTGCTGAAAGGGCACAAGCTCCCTGAATTCTAAAAGACATCTTCCTGGTTTGAAATGAAAAGACTTTTTGTTTCAAATGTTTTTTCTTATGGCAAATTAACACGTCGAAAAACTTAAATGGCTTAAACTGTATCTTCCTGGAGAATTTCCCACGTACACACGCACGATTGTAGCATTCTCTCTTACTCTCAGCATTGATCATCACTGACAGGCTACTCATAAAGATGGTTAAAAGGAGGAAGAGATGAAGCTGTAATCTAAAAGAACAACGGTCAAGCATACAAGGTAAAGTACAAGTTTAGTCAGATAGTAAAAAAGAGAGCAAAACAGTAGGATAATATTGCTCAAATTGAAGGCGCCTTGTCTTCTTTTACCACTTACTGAGAAAGTTCTTGTGCAAAAAGGACAAACATCCCTTTTTACATTTAAGGCACAATGTGCATGTAGTGTGGAGTACAGAAAGACTGTAGACCTGCCAATGGGGTTGATGGTCATCAGCCTACATGTAGGCTCTTATTACCACTGGAGGAACATTGGCACATCAACACAGGGGATAGCCAAATCTGACCTTTCCAATCTGACAGGGAATGTTACAAGAGAATTTTAATGATTTGTGGTCATCTTAGTCCAGGATAATTGAACAACAGAGCAAGGAAACACTGACTGAAATGTTAAACTCATTTCTTCTATGGAACAAAACTCATTTTTTTAGAAGCACCACTGCAATTTGTGCCTGATGACAAGTAAACTGTACATGTCAATACATATACTTGTAAATAAAGCCTACAAGCACATGTACGTGTTGCTCATTCAGGCAAAAATATACACCTCATGAACACAAATTGTAAGTTTTTACTGGGCATTTATTGGAACAGCTGAAACTTGAAATTACAACCACAAATACCAGCATATGTGCTTTGGAAATTACCTCTACAAAATTCCAATGCAATTTACTACATTGCGACCAACAAATCTAGAGTGGTTAGTGCCACTGAAATTTCAGCTGTCTTCCAGGAGTTTTAATTAACTTAAAAAGAAAACACAACAAAAGTGAGGCTAATAAATAAAACAAATGTCAACATGCCTTGACAAAATGGTGACATCCTACCAAAGTTTCCCATATGTACTCCATTCACTGTGAATATTCAAAACCGTATTGGCACAAACATTGCTAAAAGAATTTCTGATTCATTTTTCTAGAATTGTGCTGAGTTCGAAGTTAACTTTCCTAACTTCATTTCTAAGTTCTGCTAAACTTGCACGGTCATGCAAATGTGGCAAAGTAAATTTTGCTTTAATCTCATTATTTTTTCCCAAATACAATGCAACTATAACAGCCTTATCCGTCTCAATGTGACATCCCACCTGTGACACTTGACCTTCATGTCCCAATTTCTATGTACCTGTGGTTACTGACATTGGGTTGTACCAGTCAATCATTTTTCATAATATTTGTATCTAAATCCTACAATTTCTGAAGGGACAGCTAATATAATGGATCACATGAAGCTGAAAGTAAACCCTTTCTGAAAAAAAATCCCGGTTCACTTGGAACTGATGTCACTTTTAGAACTGCAGACCCCCATTTTCAACACATCAGAACTTGAAAATAAAAGATGAATGATGCCCTATACATGTATATCAAAACACAGTGGCAAGAACTTTTGGTCGAAACCCCTAAAAAAGCTAAAATACGTTACCATCAGAGTAAAGCTACAGTCTAGAGAAGCTTTCAAGTCATTCTCTTGTAATGATTTAGTGCATGCTCTGACCAATTCACCATGACAACAAATACGAATTTCATCTGTATCATGCTTCATTGAAACTCATCACTTTGCCGTGTGCAGGTTACCATTACCTAATATCCAACCAAACAAAAATCCTACTTTAGGGTGCTTTGTCTAACAACATGTTATCACACTACTGCTTTCATATACGTATTTTACAATCTATTCCATGAGCCAAAAAACAGAAACTTAAAATGGGTCTACTAAGATTCCCACTTGTATTCTTGAAAATTGCTGAGCTTAAAATTTAAAGGCAAATGTTTGCTTTGAATTTATTTGCAAGGATTTGTTAAAATAAAAAGGAAGATCAAGAAAGTCTGTCACCTGGCCTACATGTATATATCATATCAAATCTGGAAAATTATCGTAACATTCCTTCATAGTAGCCTCCCTTGACTTCTACACATAGAACTTCTCAAAGCACTGATGACACTCTGAATAGGTGTTTCACCTATTCACATATTTCATTAGCTCAGCTCCAACAAAAGTCCTCCAGCACATCCTGTCAAAAGCACCAACTCAAAGATGGTCTAGAACCCAGCTGCATCACAATAATATGGGTCCTCACTCAGCTCATCTCACACAGACTTACCGGTACCTTGATCAGTTGATGAAAATGGTATCAATTTGATGGCTCCATGTGACTTCTGGCTCTTTCCCAAATCACATCAAAGCTTACTGGAATGTTTTTTTATGGATCCAAGACCTTGCCAAAGCTGCCCATTCAGAGATGAGGACCAAACATGTATCTGTACCTCCTTCAGAGTACCACCAATGCTTCAAGAAGTACAAAAAAGGATGTTACACTGTATAACAGTTGAGGGATGCTAATTTGAAGGAATGTGACAGGAAGTTTTGAAGTGTACTCATATCATCAGAAATATGGGTCAAGTGACACAACTTGTTGATCTTCCCTCGTACCATAAATTCAGAAATTCCTTTGTTTAAATGTAATCAATTTAATTACAAAGCAAAAGCTGCATTTTGTGAAAGAACTGAAATAAGTTAATTTGTTTTTACTTTAGAACACAAAACAAAATTGTACAAACTATTGCAACCTCCATGTAGCAACACAAAAAGTTGATTGAATAATGCTTTACCAGTTCAAAGTTAAAATTGATCTAGTCTCCGAATATATATGCATATTTTGGAATACACCTTCATGTACAGGTCCTAGTCTGAAAGCTTTTTTTAAAAATGATATTGTACCTGCAGTCTTGCCAATTTCTGCATGTATAACCCTTAAATACCAGTAGTAGAAGTTACCGGTACGTGTACAGCTATAGGTATTTACCCCAAAATGTTACACAATATTATTATTCTTGAAATAGTGGAACAATTCCATGTTCTGAGCATTTAAAGCAAATTAACAAGGTACATGTATCTGCTAGTTTATGCTGTACTTGTACATACTACCAGTGCATACATGCATACAATGCAAGAAAAAAAGTGAAGACAAACCTAAAGCTTGTTACATGTACAATTTCTAAGAGGGCTTAAGATCTGATTGGCTAACTGTAATAGCGCCATTCCTCCAGAGAAAAGGTCTGTTTAACAAAGAGGAGTGCCATGACAAGGTCCAGTCTAGACAAACTATTTGAAAGATAAGATCTACAGAAGCAGTTGAAGCACACTACATAATCTGTCTAGTTTGGAAATTATACATGTATATGTATTGTAGTTCAAAGTTCATTCTCTATTCATAGTTGGTCACTTACTGGTACCCCTGCCCTATATTTAATGAGCTATCGTACCAGGATTTTTATTTGCCTCCTCTAAAAAAATCTCTTAGAGGCAGCAGCTTTCATAATAATTTTATTATGACAATAGATAAGATTACCTGGTGGTCTTTGCCACACTTGTAACACAGTCTACCGGTATATGTACCTTTAAACATTCTGCAATGATTTGAAGTTCACATTAAACTTTAGCCACATTATTGTGAAGTTTGAGTGACTTGTGTTTGTTTGGTACCTGTATGAACTACTAAAAAGGAAATCATAAAGCAAATATAATTTTCTACTCTACATGTATGTTCTTCCAACGGTAAATACATCAGATCCACAAAATGCATTAAACACTAACTTTTCATTTCTTTTACAGCATGGTTTGACTGATTTGAAATATTACAACATGCCTGTGGCAATCATCATGGAAAATTGCTACTATCCCCGGGATCATGTTGTCTTACATTAACCCTAACCCTCTGAAATCCTTTTCTGCAAAGTGGAGGAATTTGGAGGATTCAGGGTGTAGGGCAAAACTGCATGGCTGATTTAGAAGGATGCCATGCACGAAGATTGTGGATTAGACCTTATGTTGTTTGTGTTTAGTCAAGCACAAATTCAGCCCAATATTTCTTTTAAATCAACTGCACAGCTCAAGAGTGTCATTTGCACTGCCTCAACATAATGACAGGAATTGCCGGAGGATTTTCAAGAATTTGGGCAGTTTTCATAATGAAAATCGGAGGATTTCGGAGGATTCAGGATGGTTCCTAGTAAAAGGACCTACATGTAGGGAGCTACTGCTAAACATCATGAGATGGTCAATAAAGCAATTTCTGCTTTCTAATCAAGGGCCATCATGTGGCTGCAACATGGTTACATGTACAGATTTTTTCACAACTGAAATGCTGTACGGTATTCACAGCACTAATAACATGGACATTTAATAATCAGCATGCATACATGTACATGTACATTGTAGCAATGGGAAGAAGTTAAATTTCACATTCATTCTGTAACTTTTCAAAAGAGATAATGTACATGTACATCACACCTCTAAGCAAGCTAGAGCAGTCAACCAGCAAAGCAGTAAAATGGAATAAAGTGACATACATGTACATGTAGTGTCTATTCAGACTTCACTGGAAGCCACAAATACAGTTACAGAGCATTTATCTTGACAAATCATCATCTTCAGTGTCAGCCGTTACTGCTTTGATGTCTGCTAGTGTACGGACAAATCTAGACCACTCATCATGTCTGGGCATGGCAAGATTCTAACAAACAAACAAACAAAATAAAATCAATTATCCATAATACAGTGTTACTGTAGAACACTGTTTATACAAATGTCAAATGAGCGTAATTGTACATTATATGCAAAGAACCATTCCATACAAATTCGAGTTGAGGACACAACAGACATAACAAATTTGCAATGAGTTAACACTCTGAAAACTCCTGAAACAGTCTAGCTCAGACAGACTTGATCATTTTGTTGAATGGTTATCTTTAACAAAATGTTCAAATGCATTTCACACACCTGTATACATGTACCGGTACAGTAATAAGATTTTTATGCTGAAAATGAACTTACCAGTATTTGGCACTAAAATATTTCATAATAGTCTTAACTATGGAACAATAAATGCATGACTAGCATTTTGCCTACACATACACATATGGTTCAAAATCACTGTTGGTCAATTGTCGCTGTTTTTAAGGAAGTTTGCTAACATGTTACTTAACATAAGAAACTGAAATAAGAGATCGGCACCTGTGGACTAGAGTATTGCGTGTATGTCTTGACATACAAAGCTACCCGGGCATTACATAGCATTTTGTCTACACCACTGGACAATTCTGCATAATTTGCTAAGAATCAATAACAGTCATACATTACCAGTACTTTTACTTCTCTGATGGGTTTAAAGAAGTCCTGGGCAAAAATGCGAACTGGTAAATGGGAGGGTTCATATTGTGACAAAAATGCACTATTCTTTATTTTTCCCAAGTTGGCAGGAACCATTTCTGTGTGTTTGACAGGAAGGAAGTGGAACTTTCAGTGATATTTCATTATTAGCTGCACAAATAATTAAGATTTGAAGCTTTACGTGGTGGATGAAACATGAGAAATGGGTTTGCAGGTACACCATGGAATCAATCTCTTTTGAACGAGGTGTGGTTCTTAAAAAACTATTGAGTATAAACTCGTCGTTTCGGCCAGCATGCTCTGGCCGTCCTCAGGAGAGTGTGCCAGACTGGAGTGGATAGCTGGTTATAAAGGTAATCCGGAAGGGGTGGAGCGTGGAACAGGATTCGCGGGTTGTATGACTCAGCGTGTGCAGTGTTGCGTGAAGGTGTTGGAGCCTAGAATTGGCGGGAAACCTTGTGTTCGGGTATAGGGGACCCATATGCCGGGGGAGGAGGGTGCGGGTGGCTTCGGGTAGAGAAGACCCTAACGCCTGGATGTGGGGCATGGGTTTCGGGTATAAGGGACCCTACTGCCCAGGAGTGGGTGTCTGCATTGGTGTTAGTAGGGGGTGCCAGATGTCGCTGAGCTTGAAACCGATGTCTCAGGATACTGTGTTGTGCTGGAAAATCTCGATGGCTTCTCGGATTTGCCTTGGGAGCCAGTTCTGGATGGGGGTGATGAGTTGTTCTGCTTTGTTCCATTCGATACGGTGGTCCATGGAGTGTGCATGTTTGATGATGGCTGTGTGAGCGGTGTTCTTGAAGTCTGGTGGGGAGGTTCCTGTCGGTTTCTTTGATGTATACTTGGCCGCATTCACATGGAATGCGATATACGCCGGGGCGACTACTGGGTGGGTGTCCTTGTGGGTGTGCAGACTGCAGCTTGTTGGGTGCTGCATGATGTATTTTGATGTTGGCAGACTTTAGGATGCTCCGGAGTTGGTGGGAGGTGGGGCCCAGGTACGGTAGACATACTGTGGCGGTTGGGGGTTGGGGGGCTTTGGGTATAGGAGACCCTAACGTCCTGCGGGAGGGTTTGGAAAGGTTGATACGTTGATAGCCGTTCATCTTGAGGGCGGACTTCATGCGGTGGAGTTCTTGGTGAAGGTTGTTCTGGTCGCAGAGCTCGTAGGCTCTGCGGACGAGGGTGCGGTTGACGGAGGTCTTGATGGCTGGGTGGTGGAAAGATCTCTGGTGCAGGAACCGGTCGATTAGGATGGGCTTTCGGTGATCGAGGATGCCGTCTGGGTTTCTGGATACTTGAATACCTAAGGAGAGGTGTCCGTCTTGTTCTTGTTCCATGGTGAACTTGATGGTGGGGTGTTGCTTGTTGAGGTACTCGAGGAATTCTTGGAGGTGATCTTGACCATGGGGCCATATGACAAATGTGTCATCAACAAAGCGGAGCCAAATGGTGGATTTGCGGTCGGCGGTGAGGAGAGATGATGTTTCAAATTCTTCCATGAAGATGTTACTATGGCTAGGACCGGGGATATGGGGAACTTGAAGTAGCTGGAGGAAACGCCAAGGCGGATGAGGTCAACGATCTGAGCAGAGAGAGCTGTGTGGTCAGAGAGGGAGGGGTCGCTGTCCAGCCGATCCTTCGCAATCTGGCACGCTACTTCGGTGGGGACATTGGTGAATAGTGACACCATGTTGAAGCGCACTATGATGTCTGTTGGCTGTAGGCTGACAGGTTTCTTGTGAGCTTTACGAATTGGTTTGAGTTGGAGATGTGGTGTGGTGTGTTGCCGACCAGGCGCTGGAGGAGGCCGGTCAAGAAGCAGGTGGTCTCGTACCTTGTTGAGCCCCTTGAAGACACAATGGGGTGCAGGGGGGTGTCCGGCTTGTGGATCTTGGGTTGGCCAAAGAATCTTGGACAGGTGGAAGCTGACGGGCAGAGGTGGCGGTACAGGTTTGCTGGCCGGTTCTTTTAAGAACCACACCTCGTCCAAAAGAGATTGATTCCATGGTGTACCCGCAAACCCATTTCTCATAGCTGCACAAACTTACCAAGAATGCCAACTGCTTACAGAATAACTACATCATAATGTGCAGAAGCCATCCATTTTAACACCAATGCTACAGTATTTAATGTGTGGTTTCTTTTAGATTCTTATGCGATTTGTAAAGTGTACAAGTACATGTATGCTTGTACATGTACATGTATTTGTAAGCACTATATGCACAGTGTCATTGACTCTGCCCATTATACCGTATATGTGTGTCTGACATTTTACACACAAGTTAACAGTGACTTTAACTCAGGCATGTACATATGCACATACTCAGTGCTTTCATTGTCAGTGGGGTGACTTCATTTGTATGCGTGCGATGCACACTTTTAGCCTATCAGCATACACGTGCAGATCTCAACCATGCCAAAAATATATGAAAGGCGAGCCGGCATCACATTCGAGTGCTCAGTTCACCTCCAGAACAAGCCCTGTGGGAAGAAGCTAGCTAGCACCAAGAATAAACAGGAAAGTGATGATGAACTAGAAAGAAGGGTTATGATGATAGGAAAACAGACAAGAAGCAGTAGTGAGCCAAGTAAGGACACGAAAAGACCTGAAGAATCAGGTTTATAATAACCGTACCAATGTTCGTGTAGCGAACATGGCTATGTACAGACAGCAGACTGGCTACCGGTCTTAATAGCTACATCACAGCTGCAGCAATAATCTTGAGGCTCAGAATAAACGAAGAGACATATGCAGGCTGAATTCACCTGACCTAACAAAGAAGAATTACTTGAACTTGAAAGATGAATTTGGATGCAAATAAATCAGAAGCATAATTAAGAATTCTAGAAATATTTCTCCACTGCCTCATAAATTGACTGTCTTTTTTTTCTTAGGAATCTCGCTTCACAGTGAAGGTTTAGAGTCAGACTTTAGGACAGACTCAGATTATTCCAACTGCCTAATTCCAACTTTTCCACTTGCGTTGTGCGCCAAGCGTCCTACCCTCCCTTTCTACTTTTCCCATTCATGAAGTCTACCAGGCTTCGACGTGAAGGCCTGTCCTCTTAAAAGTGTGTGGCGACATCATCACTGCTGTGGGTGAAACAGGTGGCTCAGCAAGCGTTACCGATTCCTCCAGGTTGATCCCAGCGGGTTAATTTTAGGGATTTGTAGGGCCCAGTGCAGGTCAAGTTCCGTATACGGTACTTGGTACCCGTTACAATATAATGTATGGTACATACATGTACATGTACACACCATACCAGCCAATGCCACACCAAAAATCCATTCCAAAGCATCAAAATACACCATGCAAACAGAGGAACACACAGAGCTGT